GAACGAAAAACCTCGAACACACCGAGTCCCGTGCAGAAGTAGAAGTTCCAACAAAACAATAATTTTCCTGTGAAATGTCACCCATGTAAAGGTAGATCACTCTGACCAGGCATCACTGTTACTGCAAAAAGACTCACGGTGTAAATAAACCTCAGCAAAGCTCCCTCTGAATCCCAGCTGATCCTTACTTTTCTCGAGACTTGCCAGAGGTCTATACTGTACTCCCGTTACATTTTTACCTCACTGTGCTGCTTTTCCTCTCAGTTATGCAGGTCGTTTACAGGTTTGTACCGTTGGTTTGTTACCATTTGTGATGTAGTTGCTCTGAGTGGACATTTTAAACCACTCTTGCTAGGTGGCTGAAGAACCCGCTAAAAGCATTCATCACTAAATTGGTCATGGAGGCACATCGAAGAAGAACATATGGTCCCTCCGACTGATCAAGTTTACACCAAACTAAGGGAGCAGAATGGAAAAGTCCTGATTTTAGCCTGCAGTGAAGAAGCTGCCATTAAATTAACCAAGTAGGAGATAACAGGGTCTGCAGACACTTCTTCAACACTCACCAGCTGAGCGATGACCAGGGTCTCCATGAACTCCACCATCATAGGGTAATGTTCCATGGCTGTGAAGATGGTGCTAACAATGATGCAGATGATGATGACCAGGTCAAAGAAAGGGTTCGTGATAAAGGTGTGAAACTGCTGTTTGAGCCATCGCCAGCAGCCACAACAGTCCCCCTTCAGGAAGGCGTCAGTGCAGGTGCAGCACAAAGGCCGGTGGTGCTGTTCTGCCTCTGCAACACAAAGCTACTCTGTGAGGCCACAAACTGTGTCAGCATTAAGTTGTCTACAGAGCCTCAGCTCTTCGTGTTTGTGTACCTGTGACTGCTCTCAGTAACGGAGCGTGTTGTCCTGTCCCAATGAAAGAAGGTGGAGGTTAAAGAGGTGGAGGTAAATATCTGTTTACCTTCAACGTATTCTTGCTTAGTAGCTCGTATACCAGCTGATTTCTTCTTCTGCAGTGAGTCCTGTTGCTCTGGAGTCTCTGCCCTGCTGGAAGCCTGCTGTCCATAACAAAACACCCAAACTCAGTTATGCTAAATGACGATTTCAGCAGAGCCATCCCACAGTACTCTGAACAGTTTCCAAACAGGGTTATTTTGTGTCAGAAAGGTCATGGCTGACACAATAAGTTGAGAAGAAGCTGGTGAAAGGTCTTTGGAACAGCTGGATTTTAAATGCACACTGGCATCAGCTGCCGACAGGTCTGCAGGATCGGTCACATGCTAGACACAGAAGGAAGGATATTTAGATGAAGAATAGGACGTGTTTGATATATGAACAGAACTAAAGCCCGATAATAGACCTACTCGTGTTATTCCAGTACATTTTGTACAGGTGTGGAATGTTTTAGCAACACTGGCAACACCTGGGCCTAGTGTGCCAGTGCTCTAAGCTGTCAGAGCTCAGCTGTTGGTGTGGCTCTCCTCCTAGAGACACACACCTTATGGTTATTTTATATTGTT